CTGCTAGTCGTTCTCACTCCTAGCAGCTGCAGAGAGTTGTGCCTTACTTTGGCTCAAGACCGGACTAGCGTATCGCGTGAGTAAAACGAAGGCTCTGTCCGAGCGTTGTGAGTAGCAGTGCTTTGCCAAGGGTTTTGTTGAACTCCGGACTGTCGTTCGGTCTTTTTCGATTGTATTGACTGTGCACAAGACTCTTCTCCGACACTGTGAGGGCTGAAATCGTGGAGACATCATCTTGACTATTTGAAGCAAAAAAAACAAAGAACTGGACATTAGACGGTGTTTCCTGGTCTGTATCCATATCTTTGGTTCCAAAAACAAGTAAGAAAGTGGTTCTTCTCTTTTGGACTTCATTGCTTCTGAATACGCAGAGCGCATGCACAGCAACAACATTTTGGGGGACTGCAAAAAACAGGGCAAGCACTTGCTAGAAAGCCAAACTGCAAAAAATTAGCGGAGAAAGTTGATCATTTTCTAGAGGTCCTTCCAACACTTGTCAAAAAATCTGCCCAAGTCAGTTTCTGCTTTCCACTCTCGTGCGCAAAATTCCACGCTCAATGGAAGCTCTGAAAACGACGTCTGCATGATGCTTTTGCTGGTAACAAAGACTGCACACATTGCATGCAACTGGGTTGCCTTTACCAAATCTTAAAACCTTCTGTGTTCTTGGTTTTGCCACAATCACCTTTACCTTCCACTTTAGCTCTGTTGCAACGACATCGCTCGTTTGGTGTTTGGGTTTTAACATCAGTTCTTAGGAACTTTTTCAACCATGGCTTTTTGAAACAAAACAAAAGAACTCAGAAGAAGCTTGCAAAAAAAGAACGAAAAACAAAGAAGCGGAAAAGCAAAACAAAGCTTTTGAGAACATATTTCCTGTTTTTGCGTCTTCTGCTTGTCAGTCTCGTGTGGTCTTTTGTGTGCATTGTCTTGCGCAATGCCAAAGCTGGTTGGAACATTTCCAAGCAGCATCTGGAGACCTTTACGAAGGACTTCAACCGTCCCACCTGCGGGGCGTCATTTTATTTTTTCACATTTCTTGCATTTCACTTTTTAGGTTCTTTGCCGTTTTGTTCGACATTTCTAACTGATGTCCTGAGACGGGTAGACAAGGCCAGCGACCTAATGCGAGAATCTTGGAGTGGTGCTTGCTGTCGGGCACTTGACTGCCAAGCTACAAAGGTGCTCGAGTGGGACATCAGGATTTTGGCTTTTAGGGGCCCGAAGAAACCACAAAAAACTCTGAAATACAAGAGCAAGGAAAGGAGGGTGTTGAGACTGCTCTGCTCTAGTCTTGAAAGCCAGAGAGCATGCATGTTTGGACTTATTTGGTCCTATCGTAAGTGTCTTGGGCTAGAGTTGTTTTGTTTACTTTGTTGTTTGCGACTTAGCTAGACTTGGATGCCTTCAAAGAACCTTCGACACATCTCGTTTGCTTTGTAGCGGGTGTGCCTGCTGCAGGGCAGACAGTTTCTGCGCGCTGACATCCACTTGACTATCGTGCCGCACTGTGGTTCAAGGTTCATCTCTACGCGTCTCACAGTTTTTTGTGTTGAGATTTGGCGGTGTCGGTGTTGATTTTCAGAGACTCTAAGACACATTCTTAGTCGCTAGATTCTAGGTCTGGGAGTCTGCAAGTGCTGTGCCTGCCGTAAACCTGCAACTTGTGAGAGTGACTGCGACTGTTGGCTCAAGACGACATTCGTCGGTCGCGAAGTCGGCGACTTTGGTTGTTTGTGTTTGATTCGCTTGGGTGCAGGCATGGAAGCGTTTCCACCTTCCCCAAGATTCTTTCGTCTGCCGGTTCGCTTGCACACGCCGGAACCCGAAAACAGCCGCGCTGTGTTGCTGGAGTGTGGCAGGGTCTTGCAAGCTGTCGGTAGCTAACGCCAGAAGAACAACTGGGTGGAAGCCGTGACGGAGCAAACAGCCAGTGCCCTTTCCAAGCGCGCGCTTTGGTGCCATGGCATCACAAACCCAACTTGCAAGTTGGATTTGTTATGCATCAGAGATTTCTGTTCTCGGAAGCCATGGCGCCAAAGCGCATGCTTGAAAAGGGCACTGGCTCTGGTTGTCGCTATGGCACCGATCGTGCCGCCGGGCGCGACAGGCAGGTCATCTACGTTCACACCCGTCAGGAAAGGATTGGGGGAAATCGCTGCATGGACAACCTGGGCATGTTGAAGGAGGTCCTGCGCCTGGTCAGAAAGCGGAAACACGGGTCAACCCCTGTCCTCGTGTTGGACATTCGTCGGTCGCGAAGTCGGCGACTTTGGTTGTTTGTATTTGATTCGCTTGGGTGCGGGCATGGAAGCGTTTCCACCTTGCCCAAGATTCTTTCGTCTGACGGTTCCCTTGCACACGCCGGGACCCGAAAACTCAGCCGCGCTGTATTGCTGGAGTGCGGCTGTTATGTGTGGACTCCATGACTATGCTGCCTCATGAAGGGGTTGGTGGATCTTTGGCCTTTCGCCTTCTTGGAGCCCTAGCACGACATGGATCAACCCTTGGAAGGAAAGCTTCGGAGCACAAACCCCGACGAAGGGGGCCATTAAGTCTGGGAGTCTATCTTCTTGCACGATGCCAAGAAGCTGCAGATTCCCGAGGATGAACATTGGATTCACACGTTGCATGTTGCATAGTCTGCATGGTGGAAGGGTTCCTTGCAATTCGAGGTCTTTCCTGCCCTCGAGCAGAAACCGCGGTGTAAGAGGGAAAGAGCGACTGCTTCTTCAAATCACAATGCAAAAGCACATCTTTGGCAAGAGCAGTAGGAAGGAGCAGTAGAGAGTAAAGCGAGGGACGAAACGTAGTGATAAAGGGATGTTAGTGGCGAGATACCAGCCGCAGTGATGGCAGTCACGATGTACCGGCAAGAGAACAGAGACGAAAAACGTCGAGAGACCCAATCCTTTTGAGGCTGTAGAGGAATTTGCATTTTCCATGCCCTTTAACCATCCTTGTCTGCTTTACCGAAAACATGTCCAAAGCCATTTCCATTGCGGCTCACAGCCATTCGGGCGGGTCGTGACGGCCCCGCCTTTGCAGGAAGTCCCGCCGACAGTCAGCGGCGAGGAATGGAGGTGGGAGCTTCTATTCCGAGACGTGGGCTTCAAGTTAAGGGCTCGTGCACCGCACGTGGTGGACGCAAGTTTGGGTTCAAAGACGCTTGTGGTCGAGCTTTTGGGGGATCTCACTCTATCTGAGTCTATCTCGTGTCTAGACCGTACAGGCAGTGAACACAGGCAGCAGATCTGAGCCTGCATGGCCCCGCAGCCAACGCCCTAAAGGCCCTCAAGCGTTGCAAGAGGGAAGCGATCCGAAGCCTTGTGGAGGTCCTGGGGAGCTAGGATCCCATCTGTTTCTTGAGGTCTCGCATCGATGCTGCCTCAGAGCTCCGAGTGTTTTTTGGGTTTTGTCAGTTTGGAGTGCCTTGGGCTCTCGGTGTGTGCTACAGGATGTCGGGCGCTCGGGCTTCGCAACGTTTAGTCAGTTTAGTCGGGTGTAGGAAGACAGTGTGTGGGTTTTCTCGACACGGACATACTGTGATCTAGAAAGAAGCGGAAGTTGGGCAGGATTTGTGACTTCTTGATCTTTTCTTGCATGTAATAACTAAGTAGTAGATGCCCCGAAGAAGTCGTGTACACGAAGCCACTACAGATTCTGAGCCACAGGAACGGTTTGAATTCCAGTCGTGTCTCGACTTTGAAGTGCTGCAAGCCAAGCAAGCTTTCTCTGCTTGCTGCGAAACCCGGAAGTGCAGAAAACCGCCTCGGCAGGCGCGTCCCGTGGATCGCGGCTTGGTCTCCCTGTCCCGTCTGGTGGCGCCTCTGCTCTTGGCCAGGTGACCTGTTACCTTCCGGCTCCGGCGAATGCCACTGGAGAGCCAAGTTGTGGGGCTTTTAGGGGCTCAGCCATGAGGGGTTCCCTGCACCTTGGAGTGTAGCCTTGCAGACATGCCGCTCCCGGGGTTCCCTGCACCTTGGAGTGTAGCCTTGCAGACATGCCGGGTTGCTCTTTGTGTGCCCTCGCAAGCTTCCGCCTGCGGCACGGTGCAGCGACACATCTGATGCTCCAGCCGTGCGCGCCATAACTTCCAGGAAGTCCTGTGCGGCTGGGTTTCCCTTGGCGCGCTCCTGCTCCAAGATCCGGGTTATTGAAGACTTGAACTTCCTCAGTCTCAGGCGCATCAGGCATGATAACACAAGAAGCAAAGTATGTTCAAGAATTCTGCCGCCACCTCGTATCGCGAACCGATGCATGCACTGTGCCGTCCAGGTTTCGTGTCCGAAACGCTTTTTGACGGAGGCCTTATAGGTTCGTTCAAGATGAGGGGTCAATCACTACTGGGCTCCCTCGCAGAATGCGTGCGAGTGGTCTTGCAACCAACCGGGTCAGATTGTGCCTTGCGGCTGCGCCGGTTGAGAAACCTGATGCACTCGAACTGCGAAGGAACGAAGAACCAACATATTGTTGGTAGTGTTTGTGCCTTGAGCAGGACAGGCGCTATGGTGCATGCGACTTGTGATGATGTACGCCGGCCTGTTGGATTATTGCCAACAGAGTTTCAAGTTTGAAGGCTTGGAGGTTAAAAGAGTTTGGAGCTCCTTGAAGCCTGCACCTGGACAGCCTTAAACCCACCCTAAACCCTAAACCCTATAACCCTACAACCCTAAGCCCTTAAGCCTCCACGGTGGAGCCTTCACGCTGATCCCTCAGCCACTCTGCAGCCTCGGCGTCGCCTAAGACGGTGAAGCCAAAGAAGCTCCCGGGGAATGGCCAAAACACGAACTCTGCCCGCCCCGCAAAATCCAAGCGATCCTCCAGGCGCTGAAGCTGAGAGACACGGAAGACGCTCAGATGGAGAGGCCTCAAAAAGCGGGGATTTAAGAGCTTCCTTCACTTCCAAGCTGCTCAGGGGCCCCGGCTCTGTCCGCTTCCCTTGCGATCTCCGGGCCCTCGCCGCCCTTTCGGGGATTTTGCGGCACTGGCTGGAGGCGTTCAGGGCTCAGGCTTTCCTTGGGAGCATAGAGGGCGGGAACCTTCGGACCTCTCGAAATCAAGCAGCTTGCCCTTCTGACAGGAGGTATTTTTGTGCCTCATCGCTGATAAAGGAAGGCTTGGTATAGCTTGTCCCTGATGTCAGCCTTCCCCGGCGTTTTCTGTGGCGCTTCGGCTTGGATGCCCGCATCCAGAAAGACAAACCAACAGCACTACAGCCATGGCGTCGGTCTCCGTCTCCGGGCACCGGTCATAGCCGTAGCTGTGAGATCGTCTGCTGCAGGGCTGGAGGGATGGTTCTGGAAGATCCTTCTCACGAAGCTTCTTGACACATTGAGGGGCCTCATGTGGTAAGGCTAGAGTACACGCCGCCGAGCAAGCACAGCCGCCAGAACTCAAAGTCTCGAAGCTTCTGGCGATCCAGCGGGTTCCGCCGGAAGCAAAGGAGCCATGTAGGGTGCAAGGGAGATGCAGAGGATCTTGGTGCTGGTCTTCCTAGAGCAGGGGGGTCCCTTGAAGCTTCCGCAGGGGCACAAATTCACCTGGGAATGCGGTGACTGCCACTGGCGAAAAACAAACAGCCAAGCCAATACATTGGTCAAGAGCAAAGGCATCGTGCCTGATAGTGCAGACAAAAAGCCAGCTTTGCTGCCTCCTGTGCCATGCTGCCAAAAGGCACTCCAAGCCAAACAAATGCAGCCGCAACAAAAGCTGGCATAGCATAAAATGGAGGGGTATTGGTAAACGAAGCGAAAGAGAGATCAATAACCGGCCTGGTGTCGTCAATACGAAATTGAAGATCTGGCCATACATACCCAAGACCTCGCTCAATCGAACGGCCAATGGCGACCGACCCAGTCACTCCCGTCCCCCCCAAGTGCTTCCATACTGTGCAGTTGACCAAGGCCCTCAACCACGAATCCAGGTTCGCCGCTTCGTCCACTACGCCACCTCAAGCATCATCACGAATAGCTCTCCCGACATCACTTCCCCAAAGTCCTTCTTGCCATGAAGCCGAAGCACAATCTCGGGATGGGCCGCATCATTCAACTGACGAATCTTGCCCATCAACCTCTCGTGCTCCAGTGGCCTATGCTCCGTCGGGCTGAGACCAAGAAGGGGCCAACAAAAACTCGGCCTGCAGTTCGAGTGATGGGTTGGGCTTCGCTGAGTTCTTTGATATTCTCCTCGGTGCTCACTGCCGCTTCCACAGGGTCCAACAGGATATCGATGAGTACTGTGAACAACAAGATTCGAAGAGGAGTCGTGAAAGGGGCCGCCAGCTTGTCCTCGTGCCACTTGGATTCCTTTGCCAGAGGACTCGTCACCGCCTCCGGACCCTGGCGCCTCCCTTGCAACAGCTCGCAGGGCTGCTCGTGTCCGTTCTTGTGCGGCGACTTCCGATCGCGCGGAGCTTCCGGAGCCAGCGGATGTCTCACATTTCGCCCCATTGAACACCCTGATAGGCCCCTATGAAGCTTTCACACTAAATGCCCCCTGTGGGATGAAGCCCTGTAGAACAGCCCGATCCTCCCCTGCGATGGCCACCGCCTTGAGCAGGCCCCTTGCCGCTGCTTGCCGCTGCTTTTTTCAAGCAGGGCTTTCAACTCTAAACCCTAAAGCCCTAAACCCCTAAACCCTAAAGCCCTATAAACCCTAAAGCTTCTTCTGGGAGGTCGGGTCTGAGGAGCGCGGGGAACCCTGAACCCCTCGGCTTCAGCTCAGCGGCCGAGTGGAAGATCGCCTTTGGCGCTGGCCGCTTCAGAGAGCTTTTTTGGAGGCCAAGGACTTCTGAGGAAAAGGGGGGGGGGGTATTGAGGGCCCCCAAATTCTCTGTCGGTTCCGGTTTTTTTCGAGACCTGCAGAACGCCTTCACGCCCGGTGCTGAAGTCTCGGCCTTTCCTGGGTCCCTAAAAGAGATCTTTGGCTCCAGTTGAGTTGCCTTTTTGGAGTTTGCTTCAGAAGCGCCTCAAAGCCGTAAAGCTCGGAAATGGAGCCCAACAATTTGGAGCAAAGTGGGGCCAGCCAGATCCGGCCTAGCTTTGGCATAGGGGCTCTGGGAGCCTGGGCTTTGGAGCCGTCCCCCGCCTCTCTCCTTTCCGCCGCCCCTCTCTTTTGCAATTCCTGGCCTTGCGCTCTGCGCCCCAAGAGGCCCAAAGCCCTCCTCCAAAGGCAAGGGGAGGGGGAGGCCATGCTGGAGTTGAGCGTGGACCTGCAGGAAGCGCTCCAGGCGTACCGCTGGGGGGCCTTGAAGACCTTGCAGAAGGAGCGACAGAAGGAGCCGCAGAAGGAGCCGAAGGTGCCCGAGGCGCAGGCGAAGGAGAAGGGGAGGGGACTGCGGGCTGCGGCCTGTGGGCTGAGGTCTGCCAGCGTTTCGATGAGGTCCGAAGCTTTGGAGTCATTCTCTCAGCGGCGTGCGAGAAGGAGAGGCAAGGCGCCTCATAGCCCCCGTCCATGGCCTTTTCGGCGTGCGCCATGAGGCTGGAGCCTCGCAAGTGCAAGATTGCAGCCCATCGTCTGGCAAAGGGCGAAGCAACCGCTGCTCCAGTCAGGTGCCGAAGTCTTTAAGATGGCAGGCTGGGCCGGCAAGCCCGTCCTCACTTCTCAGGAAGGAATCCCCGAACATGCTCCATCGATCTGTCATGGACAGACACCTAAGCAGGACACTGCAATCCCCTGTCGTTCGCCCTTCTTTCCTTGTCTGGGCCTGCACATCGGTCTCGAAGCATCGGGCGGCCGGTGATGGCTCATCGGAAGCGTTGGGGCCGAGAGCATGTTGGTCGCTCTTCAGGGGCC